GAGAAGCAGCCAAGAGGCCCATGGTAACTCCGGAGGAGCTGCAGAGATCCACAGCTCAGGTGGGAGAATCTGTCCACAGGATAACTATTAGTCGCACACTCCACAAATCTGGCCTTTATGGAAGAGTGGCAAGAAGAAAGTCATTGTTGAAAAAGGACACAAGAAGTCCCCTTTGCAGTTTGAGAGAAGACATGGGGGGGACACAGCAAACATGTGCAAACATGTGCAAAAAGGTGCTCTGGTCAGATGAGACCAAAAGTAAACTGAATAATAATTATCACCCTGCACACACCATCCCCAACGTAAAACATGGTGGTGGCAGCATCATGTTGTGGGGATGCTGTTCTTCAGCAGGGACAGGAAAGCTGGTCAGAGTTGATGGGAAGATGGATGGAGCCAAATACAGGGCAATCCTAGAGGAAAACCTGTTAGTCTGCAAAAGACTTGAGACTGGGGCAGAGGTTCACCTTCAAGCAGGACAATGACCCTAAACATACAGCCAGAGCTACAATGGAATTGTTTAGATCAACGCATAATCAAGTGCTAGAATGGCCCAGTTAAAGTCCAGACCTAAATCCAATTGAGAATTTGTGGCAAGACTTGAAACTTGCTGTTCACAAATGCTCTCCATCCAATCTGATAGAGCATGAGCAATTTTGCAAAGAAGAATGGGCAAAAATTTCACTCTACTTTGTGTTAGTCTATCATATAAAATCCCAATAAAATACATTTACGTTTTTGGTTGTAACATGACAAAATGTGGAAAATTTCAAGGGGTATGATTACTTTTTCAAGGTTTGCTAGCTATATGTAATGTTTGAACGAAAACATAACTGGATTAAATATTTTATATATCTGTATAGAATTTATCCTGGTTATGTGATATCACCTTCAGATTCTGCCTCAATTTACAACCAGGGCAGGACAACATTCTGTGCAAGTATACTTACCCTGAAAAATAGTATGGCAAACACACACAATTTCTGTACTTACTGTAAAATCTTTTCTTGGAGTTCACTGAGGAACACAGCAGTTCATTGAGGAAAACAGTAACTTAGAAACAGGTTATATTGCCGCCTCCAGAAAGTTGGGACATCAGCAAACAAACATTGTAAGCCACCCCCTTATAACCCCTCTTCAACCTAGTATGTTTCAGAACAAAAACATAGGATCAGCCAAAAACACAAAGGCTGGAACCTGTCCTACACATCCCAACCCTTGGGTCAGATACTCCTTGGACACAGGATCAGCATCCCAACTGTTTAGACAAAGTGTTCTGTACATCTGTATGAACATAAGCTGCATGCAAGTCACAAGATTAGAAGTCTAACAAACTATCACAACTAAAGCACAATGCTCCAGACATTTGTTTCAGCTTCTGTATCAAATGAGAAAGTAACCCAGCAATGGAAGAATACCTTTTGAAGGAAACAACTCCTTCTGACATTGTTTAACTGATTAAAGTTACCACCAACATAGGAAGAAGGGTCACACTAGTCAATTTAAACTGGGATTTAAGAAGGAAGTCTGAAATCCTGAAAGGTGAGCACATCTTCAACCCATTTAGTGGTATTCCTGTTGAGGTGGATTAACTTGTGCATCCATGGTGGGAACAGACTGCCAATTTACAACTTCTCTCTCCAAGGGGGAACACTCCCAGACCAGGGGAGGGAACCCCTTAGGATTATGTGTGGGGACACACTGGATGCCTACAGCCATTGTTCACTTGCTGGGCTTCTCATATTTGTTTATGTGCCTTTAAGGAGGAATGGGCTCCCTCCAGACATACCTTAAATTTGAGTTAGGTGAGGCAGTGCAGCTTCCGCATATATTTGCAAATGTGTGCAATGCGCTTTTTTTTTTGTTTGTTTTGCAGGCTAGCTGGTAACTGTGCTGGGAAATGTTCTATTTCTACTGTGCAATGGCCTACCATCTGCAACCAGAAAACCTAGTTAGACATTGGGGTGGTTGCCATTCTTGTATACCCTTCACATTGTTCCTAGTCTACACAGAGAAATGACTCAATCAGCAGGTGAAGCGCAAAGATGCTTACAGTTGTAGGAGCCCTAAAGAATCGAGGCTTGCAACAGCAGGCTCATTCACCAGACGCAGAGTAATGCACACTGCATCAATAAAGTTTCAACCTGAGTCAATTGCAGGAGCCTGCGGTGCCTCAAAAACAGCCTCTTTAGAGAGAGACTGTTGGGACGTGAATCAGAAGTCATAACATGGGCCCCAGCCCTGGCTGGATTTAAAAGCTTAGGGTAGTCACAGAGACTCTATGGGGCATGCACTGGTGTGCATAGAACCTCTGCAATCAGAGTGCACAAGTAGTTGAACACAGATAGAAGTCCACAGTTGACATGGAGGTTCTTGTAGACAATGGAGGGGCCTTGGCTGCTCCAGATGGAACCAACACTCCAATGATGCCATCCCTATAACAGGGGACCAAGGTTCAGGATTACAGGTGTCTGTTCCTTTTTGTAGATGAAGGTTAAAATGTCCTCAGAACCACTAGGGGAGTATGGGCTGAGGTCATCCGTGGCAGCAAGACTGTCCTATGTATCTAATTGAAAACATTTTGCGCCAGCACAGCGGCAATGCACCTAAAGTGAGACAAGGCCTCAATTACTGTCAAACCTTGGCAGGTGGTTCTGATTAGGGTTTCAGGCAGCTGGAGGCGACTAAGTCACTGTAGGCAAGAAACAGAATCACGCAGGAGATTCACATGGTGTTTCAGAAGCAGCAGGAGCAGCATGGTGCTTTCTTCATGCTTGAATAGCAGGAAAGAATGCAGAGCACAAACACACATACCTAAAGGATGACATCTATGCTCAGTCCTTTGGGCTCAACCCTGTACCATGGTAAAACTAGTGGCTGTGGTGGGAAAATTGAACAGACATCCCATGTGCAAACAGGAAGCTAGCTCCTTCACAGTGAACAGTCTTACTAAATGAGAACTAGGTTATACCTGGGGCTGTGCCATGGATCTGGACCTGGAAAGCACCATACTGCAGAACCCACTGACTGAAAGTCACTAAGGTATGGCCTCCAAAGCTGTTGGTAAGGAGTGGTTGAATTGGATAGCTACTATCTAGAGACCATCTCAAGCAGCGGGGTAGCCAAAAAAAAAAAAAAAAAAAAAACACCCTTGATTAGAAGCCATCGTGTAAACATATTCCACTAAGCCAGGGGTGGGCAACTGTGGCCCTCCAGCTGTTGTAGAACTACAAGTCCCATGAGGCATTGCAAAACTGACAGTTACAAGCATGCCTCCCAAAGGCAGAGGCATGATGGGACTTGTAGTTCACCAACAGCTGGAGGGCCAGTTGCACACCCCTGCACTAAGCAATTGCAGGCTTGCAAAGAAAAAGGCATCCACTCTCCTAGGACCTTAGCAAACAGGCATGCTGGCTAGAGGTGCAGCTATATGGGGGCCGACTCACAATCTGTTTGCCAGTGTCCAAACCTTTTGTAGACAGCAGTATAATCCAACTTTCTGAACATCGGTGTCTCTCAATGGACAAGAAAGAAATACATAGTACCCTGATTTTACTAACACTATTCTCATCGGAAATCTTTTATTAATAACTTAATCCACCTTTGTGACCAAGTTTCAGGTTACACTGTGGCAAAGGGACTCTCAGAACCAAATGAGCACAAATAAATTTACATCACTGCACTTGTAGTCCGTTGCTTTCTTCCCTTTGCCCTATAATGGTAGGTCTGTATCTCTATACAGATCAAGGGCTAGGATGTAAACAATGCTTGTGCATTATTGCACCCGTGATGTGCTGATCGTGGTTGCAGTGCTCTGCAGACATCAATACAAAAATTTAATAAATACATTTTTTTCTTTTGTTAATATGGTTGCCTTTTTGTATAGGTAGGCTATGCCTTTAAGATGTCCAATTATTTTCTGTTTCTTGAATGTTCTTTTGCATATTTACATACATTATGCCCCCCAACTGCCAGTTTCTATGCACACAAGATGTTTTGTGCATTCCTTCATTCAACAATTATGTATATAGTCACAGGCAAAATAGTTTTCTTATTAAAGGGTTAAAAGTGCAATAGTCAATGACAACTCATTTATATTTTTTATATTCAAAAAGAGGAAGAACAACACCTATGAATTTAAAGTGGCTTGCACTTTAAAGTGGAACTTTAGTCAGAATATCAAGCTAGACTGGACCTTTTTGCAGGTATAGCTATGTAAATCATTAAAAATAAGTGCCTATACTGTTTAAAATCCAGTAATGCACTGTCTTACATGGCTCTGCATTTGCTCAGCTACTCTCTATTTTTCAGCACTGTGATTTACTGCTGGCTCTGGGTTTCAGCAAAATGACAGCACTCAGCAAGAAGAAACAAACAATGCTGCAACATACAGCACATTCTAATTTTGGTGGCATAATTATTAATGTGGAAATGTATGTTCCATGCTAAAGAACATAATTTTTATCAAGTTGTTATGGGTCAAGTTCCACTTTAAAGGTGGAATTCCAGGCAAATAGCTTAGTGCATCGAACGTTTGGTACTTGACCTTTCAAAGTATTTACAGTCCTGTTAAGCCAGCCTTAAAATACCCAATGCACAGCTAGGGTCATTCTTGGCTCAGATTTAGTGCTTCCTACATCAGGTTATCTGAGGTGGTGATGCCAATTACTTGCCTTATGAATAAGCTGGAGGCATAGAGGTAACTTAGGGAGCTGCACAGATGGACCAGGAAAAAAGGCATGGTATTAGACCGGCTATGCAGTGTTGTGGTGTGTAAAACACAATGACTGGATGGAGCTGCAAATCATTTGGGAGGTAAATTTTAGGTGGGCATTTAAACTTTATATTTAGCTGTTTGCCTGAAGCTCCTCTTTATAAGATACCAATGTGCAATAATATTCAAAACTTACAACCCATCAAATACGCAGTTCCTTTCTTTCTTGCATAAGCAGTACATTTTTACTATATACTGCTGCTTAGCTGGGAAGTGTAGTTCACTCACCTCCTACTGTTCCACCAGTCACTCCAGGCGATGTGAAACTGGCCATGCCATGGGAATTAGCTAGACGGCCAACGGGGCCAGTCACATGTACAGGCATGGAGCTGAAGAGAGACTGCAGAACTGAATTGCTGGCCATTGAAGTGAGGCCACCCTGCAGTGTAAGCTGGGAGCCAGTTGTCAGGTTGCTCAAGAGATGGTGGTGTGTTTGGAGGGGTGTCGAGACAGGCCCCTTCCCATTCAGTAGGACCCCTGTTCCCTGTGACATGAATAAGTTGCTGCCTGCTCGTCCCTCCCCATCCCTTTCCCGACTGCGAGGAGCTTTGGAGCGATCAACTCTTGAACTTGGACCCCTTTCCTCTCTCTTTCCACCATCAGATGCCAACTTTTTACTCAGGAACAAGTTGCCCTCTGGTGCTCTGCCCACGTCTGCTCGGGTGTGTTCGCCAAGACTGCTAGCTGACCCTGGGCTCATACCCCCAGAACCTCGACGAGCCCCATCACCAGATGAATAATGGGAACTGCAGCGTGGGGATGAGGCAGGGCTGTCAGGGGTGCGGCTGGGAGCTGCATCAGAGATCGGGGAGAAGGTGGATTTCCATTTGCCTACACTCTCGCAAGAGGATTTTCTGCTGGGGTACGGTAGACCTAAAGTGGTGGAGGGGAAAGCAAGGATCAATATTGGGGGAAAAAGGGTTTGGTAAAAGTAAGGAGGAAAAAGAGTCAATGAAGAAAATCATCACAGGAATTTATTTTCAGACTTACCTCTTTCTCCTTCACTCCTTTGTGGGGAATCTTTGCTCTCAAAACATAAACCAGAGCTCTTCCTTTCTGTCCTGTTAGGAAAAAAAATTAAGGAAGTCAAGGGGAGTCAGTAACTTACAGCAATACTGCACCATACACAATTTTTTTTTCTATTCAGCTAAATAGCATTAAAGAGTTCCTTTCTCTACTAGTATTTTGGCATTTTTATTCACTGAGGTACTCTGTGTTAAGTACATTGATCCTCTAAATAGAGCACTGCCTTATGACCAGATTCATCAAGGATCTTTTCTCGATACCTATCTGAACAATACACCTGTTTGCAAAAATAAAAAAAAAACTTTGGTCTAGCAGTATGCAGCCCAAGTTTTTTTTTTTTTTTTTTTTTTACAGAGCACCACACTGACTACAGTCCCACATCTACATTTCATGGTGGTGGCACATTTCAGCAGAAACACTGGCTTGCCAGGAAGTTTACAATGTTTTAAATATTCAACCCTGTGAAATTTAATGTATTAATATTAACTAAAAAGGGTGATTTGCAACCTCTTTATTCCCAAAAATAAAAAGCTCCTATCATGTATGGGGGTATCAACAATATGCTGTGAATTGAAAATAAAAAAAAATTCAGTTTATGTGGCTGGTTGCTCAGAATGCTGTAAACTAGTTAGGTCCTTGAGATCACAGAAATGAAACTATTCATTACTGTGTCTAAAATAGTGACTAGTCATGTTTAAAAAGTAAAAAAACGAAAGTCAAAGCTTACAAATTGGGGGAATGTGCAGCTGCTCAAAAACAATGTAGCCTTTTTTGCAGGCAAGTTGAGACTTCAAAAAGTACAGCTGGTACACTGTCAAGGATATAAAAAAGATAAAACTACAGAAGATACTAGCTGTACACCTGTGTGTCCAATGTTGTAGAAATGTACCAGCTTTGTGTGTCAAAATACTGAATAAAAAAATGTTCAAGCAACAGATACAGTCAGGTCCATAAATATTGGGACATCGACACAATTCTAACATTTTTGGCTATATACACCACCACAATGGATTTGAAATGAAACAAACAAGATGTGCTTTAACTGCAGACTGTCAGCTTTAATTTGAGGGTATTTACATCCAAATCAGGTGAACGGTGTAGGAATTACAACAGTTTTGTACCAGAGTGATGGGAAGAGAAGAGTATGGAGAAGGAAAGGAACTGCTCATGATCCTAAGCATACCACCTCATCAGTGAAGCATGGCGGTGGTAGTGTCATGGCGTGGGCATGTATGGCTGCCAATGGAACTGGTTCTCTTGTATTTATTGATGATGTGACTGCTGACTGCTGACAATCTGCAGTTAAAGCACATCTTGTTTGTTTCATTTCAAATACATTGTGGTGTATAGAGCCAAAAATGTTAGAATTGTGTCGATGTCCCAATATTTATGGACCTGACTGTATACAATTGTGCTTCACCACCAAGATGCTTAAGGCAACTGTGTGCTACAACAACCAGATAACCACAGCCAAACAAATAAATAAAATACAGTGAGCAATTAAGAGGTGCTACAAGTGAAAAAATAGCTGCTGCCTCGAATGTGCTAAAACTTTATAAATACCCTCTCTTTGCAGAGGACACCAAGCTGTGCAGTGGAATAACATGTTTAAAAGATGTCTCCAATTTACAAGCCGACCTCAACGCACTGTTCGATTTGACAACTATGTGGCAAATTAAATTTATTATTGATAAATGTTAAATTATGCACTTGGGGGCTAAAAACATGCATGCATCTTACATACTAGTGGGGTGTACAACTGGGGAAATCCATGGCGGAGAAGGATTTAGGGATTCTGGTAGGTCACAAGCTTAATAATGGCATGCAATGCCAAGCTGCAGTTTCCATAGCGAGTAATATCCTTTCTTGTATTATAAGAGGTATGGACTGCAGGGAGAGATCATTTTGCCCCTGTAAAACTCATTAGTAAGACCTTGTCTGGAATAAGCAGTTCAGTTTTGGGCACCAGTTCTTAAAAATGATATCAGGAAACTGGAAAAAATGCAGAGAAGGGCAACCAAACTGATAACAGGCATGGAGGAGCTTAGCTAAGAGGAAAGATTACAGGAACTGAATTTTTCTCATGAGAAGGAGATTAAGGGGGGATTTCAACTACATGTATAATATATGTACAGCAGGTAAAATAAGTATTGAACACATCACAATTTTTTTCAGTAAATATATTTTTCATGGACATGAAAGTTTCACATGTGAGCAACAACCCATGCAATCCATACATATAAAAAAAAAAAAAATTAAGTTCAGAAATTAAGTTATGTATAATAAAATGAAACAGGGAAAAAATATTGAACATGCTAACGAAATGTAATACTTTGTACAAAATGCTTTGTTGATAATGACAGCTTCAAGACGCCTCCTGTATGGAGAAACTAGTCACATACATTACTTAGGTGTGATTTTGGCCCATTCTTCCACACAGTCTTCAAATCTTGAAGGTTCTGTGGGCCTCTTCTATTAGCTCTGATCTTTAGTTCTTTCCATAGATTTTCTACTGGATTACAGTTAGGCGATTGGCTAGGCCATTCTAGCAGATTTATTTTCTCTCTTTGAAACCAATTGGCTTTGTGTTTGGGATCATTGTCTTGCTGAAATGTCCACCCTCGTTTCGTCTTCATCATCCTGGTAGATGGCAGCAGATTTTTATCAAGAATGTCTTGGTACATTTTTCCATTCATCCTTCCTTCAATGATATGAAGTTTACCGTATACTGAAAAAACAGTCCCACACCAGGATGTTCCCACCTCCAAACTTCACTGTTGGTATGGTGTTTTTGGGGTAATGTGCCGTGCCATGTGACCTCCAACCATGGTTGGTATTATAGCATCCAAAGAGTTAAATTTTGGTCTCATCTGACCAGTCTATATTCTCCCAGTATCTCACAGGCTAGTCTAGATGTTGTACAGAAAACTTTAAAACGAGCTTCAACATGCTTTTTCTTTAGCAATGGAGTCTTGCGTGGTGAGAAACATCTGGATTATGGCCCCAATAGTGCTCACTGGAACATTCAGAAGGTCAGAAATCCTGTAATCATGCCATCAGTATGCTTTGCAACAATAAGGTTGTGAAGGTCTTGAGAGGTCATTGCATTTTATTACACATAACTTGATTTCTGAACTTGTTTTGATATCTTTGTATGTATGAACGGCATAGGTTGCTACAGATATGTAGGGAAAATTTCATGTCAATAGCACCTTTAGAAATATATCTACCTAGAAAAATGGTGAGGTGTTCAATAGTTATTTTACCCGCTGTATATGTTACTTGCTATATTTGAAAAGACTGTTTTATTTTGTATCCAATAAGATTTTTGTATTAATCATAGGTGTGAATGATGACTTGTGAATGATTTCTTTTCTTTGGTATATACAAAAATGAGACAAAGAAATGATTTCAGAACTTTTTCCACCTTTAATGTAACCTATAATCTTTACAACTCAGTTGAACAACAAACTGAAATCTTGTAGGTGGAGGGAAGTAAAAATAAAAAACTAAAATAATATGGTTGCATAAGTGTGCACACCCTTAAATACTTTGTTGAAGCACCTTTTGATTTTATTACAGTAGTCAGTCTTTTTGGGTATGAATATCAGCACTGCACATCTTGACTTCGCAATATTTATTTATTTCAGTATTTTAATTCAAAAAGTGAAACTCATATAGATTACACACAGTTATTAATTTCAAGCAATTCTTTCTTCTAATATTGATGACTATGGCTTACAGCTGGTGAAAAACCAAAATTCAGTATGTCAGAAATTTAGAATATTGTGAAAAAGTTCAATATTGTAGACTCATGGTGTCACACTTTATCAGTGAATTCATGCAAAACACCTGTAAAGGTTTCCTGAGCCTTTAAATGGTCTCAGTCTGGTTCAGTAGGTTAAACAATCATGGGGGAAAACTGCTGACTTGACAGTTGTCCAGAAGACAGTCATTGACACCCTTCACAAAGAAGAGTAAGTCACAAAATATCATTGCTAAAGAAGCTGGCTGTTCACAGAGTGCTGTATCCAAGTTCTGTGGAAGGAAAAGGTGCACAAGCAATAAGGATAACTGCAGCCTTGAGAGGATTGTGAAGGTCATTCAAGAATTTGGGGGAGATTCACAAGGAGTGGACTACGGCTGGCGACAGTGCTTCAAGAGCTACCACACACAGACATATCCAGGACATGGGCTACAACTGTAGCATTCCTTGTTTCAAGCCACTCCTGAACCAGAGACAACGTCAGAAGCATCTTAAAAGGGCTAAGAAGAAAAAGGACTGGACTGTTGCTCAGTGGTCCAAAGTAAATTTTGCATTTCATTTAGAAATCATGGTCCCAAGTTGCATGAGCAGGGGTGTGGAAGTTTTCTAAAAAAAAAAACCTACTTTTCCAGGGACTAAATCAGTGTCCCAATGTACTTGTCCCTCATGACAATCTACTTGTCCAGATAGAAAAATAAATAAATTTGAACCAAAACCGTATTTAAATCCGAGGTGCTCTTAGGAATGTCTGGGGCTTTTAAAAACGAAAGAGGGTTTATGGCGACTTACATTTTTCATGTTTTTAACATTGCACTGTTTATCTCCTCACCTCCCTTCCTGTCTCTAGCACTGCTCCCTGGGACTAATAGTGAGAAGAGACACCATGCAATGTAGTGAGCACCGATTGGATGCTCTTCAAGAAAGGGGGGTATCCAGCTTATCCTTTGCGCCTTTCACTGCCAGAGCCGATTTTGCATTTTTTGCTCATCATTTAAGGCCTGAAGATTACACAAACCCCCAAACATAATATATTTTCTGAAAGCAGAGACCCGGAAGAGTAAGAAATAGTGGTAGTTCCAATTTTTTAAGTCATGCGATATTACCACAAAGGTCTAGGAAACAACATTTCAGTACAAAATACACTTAATTTTAAAGCACAATTTTTTTAAAGCAATAAATTACCCAATTTTTTGGTAAAATATAAAAGATGAGGTTGCACTGAGCAAATAGATATCCAACAGATCAAACCTTAAATTTGAATGCACTTGT